GCTGTGTCTGTCTGCTGTATGGTCATTATAAAACTCTGCAGGGGGTTGTGTGATAGAGTTGTGGGTTTATCACTACAAGCAAAACCTTTTCACGTACGAATACACAAATAGTCATGTGATCAATTATTAATACAAATGCTGCTTTATTGACCACTCTCTTGTTGACAAGAAGTTCTCCCAGACAACTGAAGAACCATATTGACTCGTTCCACCGTGTTTTAAAATATGCAAATCCAACATTTAGATCAAGCGCTGCTTTGATCTTCTGGGGAGATTAAAGATACGTCTGAGTTCCCTTTGAAACCTCTGAGAGGCGAGAAGCCAGCCAGGCAGCCTGCTGTGGAGAGCCTCTGGCTGCGGTCCGGTCAGGAGGGGGTTAATAATAAAGGGGAGGTTGGAGAAGCCTTCCTGAAAGTCACGTGGTTTGTGCCAGGAAGGGGGGGTGGGGGGGGAGGAGGGAGGGTGGGGGGGACGAGCGGGGGGAGGAGTCTGGAGCGTGTTGCCGTAGAAACTGAATCCTCAGTTGGCCGGTGTGAAGTCAGCAGTGTAATATTAGGCGGTGACTGCAGTTAGATGCTGCTGGTGGTGTGAGGTGGGTGGATGTGTGGGGAAAGGAGGGTGTGTGTGTGTGTGTGTGTGTGACTCACACTGGAGGACGCACTCTGCATTCTAATGGACTGACACATGTGAAAGCACTCACACAAATACAGTACTCTCTCTACACCTTCCTTTGGCTACATCACCTCAAACCTTCAATTCACGGTCACTTTCTTATGTTAGAGTCTCCTATTTTTCTCCGATGCTACTCTTCTACTATGGCCCAGCATTATCCTCTTCCACTCTGCTTCAGAACATATAATTAATTCATTATGTCAATGGAAGATCCATTAGTGTATGTCTTGGTGGCTTGCTTCACTTGCATGCGTTGATACAGGGCATCTATTAGGGGGAACCAAATGCTTAGACAGGCTAGTAAACTATAGCCATGTAATTGGTGACGGTATAATTGCATAGCACACGTAGCAATTAAAGCGATAATATGTGTAAACCATGCTCAAGATTATCATTGGATTAACTACACTTCCCAAATGCCCTTGAGTGTAGAGGCTCACCAGCTGTTACAGGGGAAGTGTTAATAATTATGCGGAGGGTTTTAGGGTTGTTGTTTTGAGGGTCTTTTCTTTTAGCCACAGGGGAATCAGTTTGTATCTCATTAGATTTGTTGTGGGGAAATTTTTCTCTCTCAGGGTGTGGGACAATAGAGCATAAGCAGCAACACTAAACAGATATTTTCTCAAACGAAGAAATGTGAATCCTAACACCCCCTCCCCCCCCAAAAAAAATTTAGATTTATGAAGCCTCGGGGTTGACAAAGGCAATTCATTACAACAGCTAACACACTTGGCTGTGAGAGTGAGACAACCAAAATGTGTAAAATTACTATTATGTTTATTGATTCTCTTAATTCATGCATACATCTAGCACTTCCTATAATACTGTGACATTACATGTAGGCCCGATGGGAGGAACAGTGGCTGGAATAATATTTTTCATTTTATGGTCATGAATTATTAATGTCATAATGTAAAGGTCATTTGATAGCATACAAATTTACATCATCCCATGTCTATATATTTTTTTTTACTGGCTTGGTTATGTATGAAATCCCATTTCAGCCAATGTGATGTGGAAAAAACAAAGATCCTTTAAGTCATTATAATGAGAAACTATCTCAAAATAAAGACTTACTTATCTTGAAATAATGACTTAGTATCTCAAAAGAATGACCTAGTATTTCAAAACAATGGCTTTGTATTGCAAAATAATGACTTAGTATAGAAACCTTCTCAAAATAATGACTTAATATCTCAAAAACTAATTAATCTCATTATTTTGAGATACTGAGTCATTATATTGAGAAAGATTCTCATTATTTTCATTATTTTGTACAGAAGTGTAATGCATTGACTTGAGAAAAACAAATCTGCTCTGTTTTTCCTTATTTAAAGAGATCTCAGAATTATGAGATACATTTTTATGAAGAAACAATTCTGCTCTGTTTTACTGTCAGTTTCTCATTATAATGACTTACAGAATGTTTTTTTCCCCCCATGACATTGGCAAGAATGGGCTTCCATAGTTATGCCAACTAAGCAAACCTCTACTAACAATAAAGAGAAACAATTTCTATAATTTGTGTGTTCATTAACATAATCAATATCCAGTTATGAACAATGAATGCACTGCTTGAGCACAAGTAATGAGAAGCTTTAAACATTGAACATATAATATGTTTTCATATATTGTGTATACAAATGTTTCCTCAACAAAACATTCTGCCATTCAAAATAGCCACTGCAGTGTTATAACGTAGGGAGATGTGACGTACACTTGCTTTATTGCAAATAAATGACTTTTTGACTGCTTTGCCCTTACTTTTAAGGAGAGCCAAGGCAGATTCATTTCCCATCATTGCTCCGTGTAAAGCTGGAAGCTGCAGGGAAAATCACAGGCAGTGTGACGTTTTCTTGGTCACCACCCTCAAATGTATCTCATGGTTTGGGGCAAGCCAATGGGGGGCAGGCTGGGATGTCTGATATATTGCTGGCTGGTCAGCGATGTAGGAGGCTGTCTGATGAACATTATCTTCAATGCTTGTTTTTTTCAGTTTGCCTGTGACCATGACTCATTCGATTTTTGGGAAAAAAGGGGCTGCCACAGAACCCCTCCCCCCAAGGCAAAACCAAACCAGATATCTCCTGATTACCTTTTGTTTCAGAATATCTCTTTATATTGTCTGTCAATTGAAGCCAGTGGATGTCTTTTTTAGGATTGTGATCCCTCAAATGGCCTTACTATGGCCTTAGTGTGAACATGGTTTATGAGCAGTTCAATCCAAAGGGGATTTTCCCTTTACAGATTTTTAGATTTGAAGATGTTTACAGCTTGACAAGACATAACAAGGATAACAATATTTCACAAGAAAAAAAAAATTAACTACATTTTGTTACCCCTCACATTTATCTTATGTTGACTTCTAAGTTTTCTTCTTCTGTCTTTGCATGTGTCTGTTAGGCAGCAGTAGATATCCAGCAATGTTCTGTAAACACACATAACTTGTTAAAGACAGATGATCTTTTCCTCATTTGCCTAATATATTCATAATAATAAGCGGTAGTGGCATTGTTTCCCAAATTTGTATTCTGGAGGAACAGAAGTCACCAATTATACAGAGTTATGCTAATTACCCACTTGACTGGATCACATATTACCTTTATTAAAAGTCATTAATTCAGCTGAAGTAAAGAGGCCAATTAGCATTTGTTAAGAATGTTAAAAAAAGCGATGGCACATTTAGAATGTGAAGATATAAATGACAAGTGAAAAAGACTATTGTTGCCTCAAAAACAAGTAGCCAACGCAACATAAAAGAAACCATTGTGCAACATGACCCAAGCCAGCTTGTTATGTTGTTTCAGTGCAGAGCGCTGTCCATGGTGCTGATCAGGGGCAATAAGGCCCAAATGGTAAATACAAAAAGTACCTCATGTACTCATTTACCATTTGACTGTGAATGGAATAAGTAGTTGAAAATGGCAGGAAGTTAGAATAGATTGTTTAACTTTAGTTTGATTTTAATCTAGCAATTTTTAGATATTAAGACTCGAAATCCTACAAGATTAAAAGGTTGTACAATTATACGCTGCAGTGTGGCCCTCCAAACTTCTTTCAAAAAACACGTGATTTGCTTTGAGCAAATCCAAAGGTGAGATCTTGGGATATTACAAGAAATAGATGGACCGTGGTCGTCTTTTTCAAGAGAAGCCCCACACCCTGCCCTCTCAGGAAAATGACATTCCCCCCCTCAAATCAATATTTATTGATTTCATTAGGCTGAAATAAAGAGTTGTCAACGTGTCAGGCGAGCGGGTGATAAGCGATCAAGGCCGAGCAGATCAGCAAAGTGATTGACCTACAGCGCCACCTGGTTGTTGTAAAATTTACTACAAATTTAACCTACATCGCACCAAATGCTCTGCGACTCCGAGATTTACCGATTCAAATCTTGTGGTCATGAAAGATCGTCATTGTCCCGAAAGACAGAAATTGTATTCGTATAGTAAAACTGAGAGCATCCGTACACAGACTGTTACTACTAGTACATAATATCACACCGAACGGGATTCCCAGAGATCGGAGGGATTAAGATGCCCCGCAGGAAACTGCAATCATAATTCTAATAGAAAAACCTACCTTTTGCAGGCTCGGTGTTGTTGAATGCAGTGACACGTAGGACTGTTTGGTGTCCACTGTTGGGTCGGGGTGTAAATGAAGAAAGAACAAATTTTCACACGAGAAAACCCGAAAGATGTGATGCCTCTATTCAGCCTGACTAGGCTACTACTGGGGTCCCATCTGGCTAATTACCTTGTCAATAAACCTTGAAGGTAGTACCGCGAGAACGGGAGTTTTGAGTGAGAGCTAAGTCTGACCCTCCTTAACTCCACTTCCAATTCTGCAACACAAAATTGCCTGCATTGATTGCATGCATGCATTGATTTAAATGTTCTATAAAGAGAGAAAAAGGGAGAACGGATCGACACAGAAATCCTCCTACGATCGTAAAGTAAGCCATGCCAAGTCAATAAAAGACCCTGAAAGACTGAAATACTGTAGTGTACTACTGTTGAAATGTTTAAATCATAGGTTAAAATACTAAATTACATGTGTACTATGTTCGAGGGTTTCACAGGTTCGTTTCATTGGTTTCACTTCCTTCAGCGCCCTCTGCTGTCACATTATTTATTTTATTTAAAAAAGCATTCTGATAAACGAGTGGCAAAATATTCCACTTTGCGTAAAATCTCTTTCATATATAATATTGTCTAAATCTGTTTACTTCAATTATGTTATTGTTGTCAAAGTGACTTTAACAAACAAACATCACACCCTTTCCCCCGGTTTTTTCCGGTTCACAAAACAGGAGCACCATATCCGGTCCGGCTGCCAAATCTGTCCGCCACAGCGCGTCTCGTGTTTGAATGTGGCGTGCACGTATCACAGCAATTAATGTAATTAATTTAAAACTCACGTCTCAAATAAACGTAAGCAAACCAGCAGTTGTTTCACGACTGTTCAATTCACAAGCTAACTTCTGGTGTTTGCCCTCTGTAGGCGTTACTCGCATAGAACCACGATATTACATGTCAAGTCAACCCAAGAGACTCCGCAGTGAAAACATGACCTTTAAAAAGATTGGGACTCACAACGGCACCTTTCACTGTGACGAGGTCCTGGCATGTTTCTTCCTCCGTCAGCTACCTGAGTACAAGGTAGGTTCAGTATTCTGCGAGATGATGACATGATTGGTAACTTACCTGTAAACTATTGTTCCCTTGACGGCTGATATCTAATTAACGTTTGTTTCGTTATTACTGCAAGTTAAACTATGTTGATAACATCTCTCTTTAAAGATGTTTCTTCTGTCTGCATTGGCTGAATTTTGGAGATGTTTATATTTTATTCTTCTGCCACAGATCCAATGTAATGTTATAACACTCCAAATGGGGGTGCTGTTGTACAGATAGATGGATCTCCCAGAAAGATGACATGTAACGTTAGACCTAATAATTGTAGTATAAAATATAAACACACATTTTCTGTTTCGCAATAAAATGATATTGCAAATGGTCAATTAAATAAATTTAGTGGTATAGTGACTTATTATAAGAGACTTATTTAAACAGTTAGAAAAGAGAAATTACTCATTTCTTGTACCTTTCCGCATGGATGTGCTTTTGCCAGTTAATTGTCTCTCTCATGGCACAATCATTGCCCCAAATGCAAACAAAGTTGTAGCCCAGCACCAAAACACCACAACAGAAATTGGTGATGAAATCAAATGTCATTGCATATAACATTTCATATGACGACACTGAAATGTATCTTGATACAGTGTATTTTCTGGACAATCAATTGAGGCATGTTTTTGGACAATCAATTGAGACGTGTTTTGGCTGATCTAGCAAATTTTATATATATATATATATATGACATATCAAAGAACCTCATCACATTGATGCAAAAATCACATAAAAATACAATATTGTCATAAAGCAGTCTGGCTCAGTGATTTGCGACATAGACTCAGACGTGTTAAAGGGAAACACAGTATAAACAGTGTGGCAGAATCTCTTTTTCTGTTACTGTAATAATTTAGTGTATGTACATCAATAATGTAAAGGCAACATCATGCAGGTCTACATTTATGATAAGGTGAGAAGCAGACATGTTACTTATTCATAAACATAATGTGTAAAATCACATTCAATTTTATGGTCAAAAAATATGGCTTGTACTAGAGATCAAAACCTGCTACAGACCTGCTTCCAGTGGGTCCAATTAGGGACACTGTCTTGTTATAATTAATGGCCCTGGTAGAATTAATTTACTTGCATTTTGCTCTTGGATTAGAAAACCTAAATGAGGCCTAAACATAAAACATAGATGTCATTTCTGTCCGGAAAATCTGTCAGATGGTTGATGATAGTTGACTGTGTATGATAAAATATGCAAATATAAAATATGATTTAAAAATGATGATAAAAATCTTTCTATTCATTGCGCAGGATGCTGAGATCATTCGGACCAGAGACCCGACACAGCTCGCAGAGTGTGACATTGTTGTAGATGTGGGAGGAGAGTTTGATCCAAAGAGGCATCGCTACGACCATCATCAGAGGTACTACTTTGGCCACTTATTGCTCATCACCTGTCATGGTAAAGGGATTGCGGGTTTATTTTAATATAGCAAATCATGATAATATTTTTTAAAAATCAGTACTGAAAGAATACTACAGTACAGTACAAGTTTGACTTAGCAATTAGCATGTGGTTCAGTGTGGTGGACATCAGTAAAACAGCGCGATTCTATATTCTTTATATAAACAGATCACATACATATGAATCCGTGTTGGAGTGAGTGTACTAATTATCATGTTGTTTACCCTCAAATCACTCAACATTTATATGAATGTAAAATAAATGCACTCTAGGTGTTCTTTTCAGTGAACTACCCCAACACTGTAAAATAGCACAATAGGACTCATTCATGTTGAGTGTTTTGACATGCCACAGCTGCAAAGCACAGGGGTAACTAATATTATTAACGTTGCCTCTTTCGATTTAGCTACGCCTGTGAGCCATGTCATTGAGCAAGGCACCATAATAAATCTTATTAATTACACCTTTTCCTGTCATATCGAGAAAATAATTGGCAGCCTTATCTGTAATAAAAACAATCTTTACTTGCAGCGCTATGAAAATGTCGCTTTGGGACAATTTCTGTCCATTGACAAATTAAACTGCGGATTAATAAATAATTAATATAATCGTTAGTTGCAGCCCTGAAATGAAGGCGGATAAGAAACAACTAATTACAGTACAGAAATGTTAATCAATTCAAGTTGTTGTGCGGCTTGTGTTCAATCTAAAGCAAAGGGGTATTGGTACACACGAGCCTTTAAGACCTGGATTAAAGTTAATTTCGTCTACTTGACCCCTGTCATGGCTTCCTAAAATTGAGACTAGGAAATCAAACTAGATTTCAGACCTGTGGCTCTTTTTTCAGAAGTGTTAAGAATCATATTTTCATTACCTACGGTCCAAGTATGAGAACATATTTCTCTGGGGCTTCTGTTATGCCCTCATTGAAGCACCCTAATTGCATGAATCACGAAGGAGCAGACTCCAAGTTTTCTGCTAAATTTCCTGCCAAAGTTCCTTCTGAATGATTGCATTCACTCTAAGTCTCATCACGTTGAGCAATCAGCCTATTGCAGATGTCTTGTCAGCTTAATGTCCTGATGATAATCAGAGATAGTTTTTATGACCACGGTGATAAAGATATGCCGGGGCTCTCTTCCCGGCAGGTGGTTAGTGATAATTAGCGCTCCTTCAATTGAACGGCCCCCCTGCTGTTGGTTCACGAGGCACAGAGGCTGCCACGACACTGTCAGGGGCCACAGGAGAATGTGGCTGTCACTCACATGCGCGGATGGGGGCAAGATGGTTGTGATGGCAGGGATGAATGTAAGTGGGCTGGGATGCTGGAGGAAGTTGGAGAAGGAGCTGACGAGAACAATTAGTCCTCAATAGCACATGTTGGTATACAGAGGAAGTTGACAGCAATACCATTATATCATAGTAAGAATTGTAAATTGAGAGGATAAAATTAAGCCTTTAAAGGAGTAGTAAGAGCTCACTAATTAACACGTTATATCTTGTTTGTTTAATCTGTACAAAAGTGTGAAAACGCAGACTTTACAGGGGATAGTGTGCTTAACTATTACTTGGCCGGACAGAGTGACTTCCTAGAGTCTTGTATTAATCTTGAGTGTTGCCAGGCAACCAGGTGAGACTCCAGGAAGTCACTCCACCTAGCCCGGAAAAAGTTTTGCACAAACAGACAGAGCCAGGTCTCTCGTCTTTATGAAAATATAAGCTAACAGTCTGCTGCCTCCAACTTCATATTCATTTCTCAAAATGTTGAACTATTTCTTTAAATTTAGGCTGAAGGACATTTAATAGGGGGTCTTTGCTTGTTTTTTTATCCAACATTTGGGACTGGCAAGAAAGACTACCTTATATGATTACAAATAATTTCTCCTTAAATTGATGCCTAAAGACAAACAGCTTTGGTAAACTTTTATCATGTAGGTTAAGATGAAGAGCCATGAGAAATGTTCTCCAAACATTGACTAAGGTTAATAAAGAACAACGGATTAGATCTGGCAGGGATTAAGTTTGTGGTTGCTCACACTGGAAGTGCGCTCACAGTGCTCCCACTCAGCAAAGAAATGTAAGTAAGAAAGTAGGCAACAGTGACACAGGGATGAATGTGGCCTGAGTTTTGCAGAGAAATCTAATAGATAAACAGTTTTTATGTTTTGTGACATAGCTGAAGTTGCTTCCACTGATTATGTGTCATTGCAAACCAGCAAAGAAGAAATCCTTGGCACGGCATAATTCCTCTGTATTCAGCAATGGCCAGTCAGTCAATTAATTAATGTGATTAACATTTTCTGTTGGTAAAACACATACACATACTCTACATATCATTTGTAACAATAATTTACATCTTGTATGTAGGTCTAACTCAACACGTGTACCCCTCCCCAAATAAAGAGAAAAATGTATACAGTCACTGATAATTTTATTTTATTTTTTTAAATGTGATACAAAATGTTTAATAACATCCCTTATCTCACAGCACTCAAATCTTATGGAAATAATATTCCTGGAAAGGCAGGAGTTAAACCAGCTGTGTATCAGAACCACTCGTATGAAACAATTTTGTCTACTCCACAGTACCAAAGGTCACAGTGATATCTAAATGAATTAAAAAGGAACATTTCCCGCCATCTGCCTCTCAAAGGATGGTATGAGTAACCAGATTGGAATTGATCAGCCCAGTTTGGATTTTCTATGCCTCTGATAGCGGGGCCTGAGGCATTATGTTGGTTTATCCATCCATCCTATTCTTGCGAACGTGATAAGAATGCCTTTATGAAAGTTCTTCAAATTTGGTACAAACGTCCACTTTGACACAATTTCAGATTATTAGAATTTGGTTGTCAAAGGTAAAAGGTCAAGTTACTGTGACCTTAAAATGACCAAGATGTTTTAGGTCATAAGTCAAAAATTGATGCAGTAATTATGACAAAAAAGATGTTTAATGGGATACAACAAAAAAACTTCCCTGTGACATCATAATGTCAAGGAAAACACCTCTTTGGCCATTATACAACACCATAACTCAGGAACACAAGGGGAGATTGTTTGGACACTTTTGACTCAAAGGTCATTGAGACCTCAAAATAGGTTTCACACACTGTTGGCTGGGACTTATAAGAATTTTTACACAGTAAACAAGTACATGTGTACCTGTTTACCCAATATGTCTATGATAATCCTACATTATTCAGCTCAACAATGTATATTCACTGGAATCATACATATGTGTCATTAGTATAGTGATAACCTGCATTTAGCAAAAAAGACACTTTATACCTTTTAATTCCGTGCCTTCCAAGTATTCCCTGCATATATTACAAGTCTGGACAGACAAGGATGTAAATTGCAACTGGACTGGTTGGCAGAGGCACACAACTGCTGGGTGTCAACTGTAGTTTTAGTGATGTAATATATTTGTGTATTTGTATTTGTGCTTTACTACAGTTTCTGTCTCTCCAAAGGACAATTTCCCATCATTTTAAGGGACTGCTGGACTCAGAATGATGGGAAATAACAGGCCAGTTATATTCTTTTCATGAAGTACTTGAGGTTCTTGAGTCACTGTCTTTCTTGTGATACTTCGAGTAGGGGATAGATTCATGAAGCATAGCTTTGCACAGCTGTACTTTCTAATAATATAGTGGTGCAGCTGGTGCATTATGGGAACCGTAGTATTTTATATGTTAAGTACGTTTAAACAATGCTTACAATTACTTAGTTCTAAATGATTTTCAACGGTTAGTTTTATATTCTGCTCAGTGACCTTCCTTGATTTAGTTGTGTGTGGTAAGCAAACGGTTTAATGACTGCATATCTCTTTCAGCCATTTTCCACTCTTAAGTCTGTCATTTTTCTGTCACACATTCACTCCCATCTCCTGATAATCAGCATAGAAATGCCTCAGCTTGGCCAATTAGCCCTTTAATGGCTGTGATCACCCCCTGCTTCCTTAGCATGTCACTCATTCATTTGACGGTCTGTTTTCCGCTGTGCTGCAGCTAAAGTATCCTAATTAAGCCTGAATTAAATGACCAGGAGTGGCTGGAGCCCACCCATCTCAGCACGTGGCTGAGGAAAGGCCTCCGGTGGCTTTTATTTATGTGCTCAAGCTTACAAACACGCCAGAGCATGCTTTCTCTCTCCGGTCAATGCAAACTCAAAGCTCTCTGAAGCTGAAGAGAATATTTAGAGATGCAAGTCTCTTTTATTGATATTTGATACATAGCCAGTAATGTCCAGCATAAATCTGGATGCAGCAGGCCAGTTGTTAAAGAAAATGTGAATAGTCTGTTTGTGAGCAATAATGTTTAATCTTCCAAGCCTTGGCATTAGTATTGAGTGATGCAGCTGCCTATAGACCGTGCAGTGTTTTTTTTTTTTTTACTTTTAGTATTGATAAAAGCTGATGTATGTTAGAGACAAGGCTGTCTTGGCATACAAGAATACTGCTGTGACAAATGTCAGGAATTTATCTTACATAAGCAAAGAAACTATCAGTAATTTACTTCGCTACTACATTTGTTATGGTGGAAGTAGGTTTGTATAATTGTAAAATAAATATTTATTACACTTTCCATGTCATGTGACTTTTAACGGTCCATAACTATATGATATTCAGCTTACATTTATATATAAAAAAAAAAAAACAGAGAAAAGCAGCAAATCCCTACAATTAAGATACTGGAATTTGGTCAAAATAATGATTATCTAAATAGCACCAAATTAATTCTCTGTTGATCTGCTTATTGAATAATAGATTAATTGTTGCAGCGCAAACTGTAACTAGATATTATTTTATTATCTATTGGTTATTATTTTTATTAGTACTTCACATTGATATGAAGCAGAAAAGCAAGCATATCTCTTACATCTGTGAAGCGGTCACTAGAAAATAGACTGTTTTTATATGATTTTTCACCTACTGTGAAACTCGTGTTCATGTTTAAAGTCCATTTCTGTTACTGTTGCAGTCATCTTACAGAACGTCTTCCCTGTGTTCAGGACCTTTGCAGAGAGCTTCCACAGCCTGTGTCCAGAGAAGCCATGGGTGACCAAGCTCAGCTCAGCCGGCCTGGTCTACCTACACTTTGGTCGTCAGCTGCTGGCCCAGCTGACGCAGCTGAAGGAGGGTGACAGGCAGCTGGAGGTGCTCTTTGACAAGGTGGGAGGAGAGAGACGACGGATTTATAGCAGGCAGTGGATTAATGGCCTTTGTATTTTATTGACAACACAAACACTCCATTGGAATCAGATTTTCCTTCGCCTCACTCATATCGAAAACATAACCTCGGATGGTGAATTGAACCTAAACTCCGTTTCATCATGAAGTTGGAAGACAGAACAGAAAAGTGTTTTACATTTGATATGAAGAGAAAAGCCAGCTTATCTGGTACTTCAGTAAAATGAATTATCATGGACACGTTTTAAAAACAGAAACCAAGAAGTCACTGTCTGCAAAAAATGCTGTTTGGTTATTGTTAAAGTCAGACAGTTGGCAGTAGAGCGTGATTAAAAAATAAAAAGCTAAGAGACAGGGATGTGGCGAAGTTCCTCTACCAGATTCAAACCAAGGACACTGCAGTTGTATTTAAAGCATTTTTAGACAGCTGGGCCAGCAGGAGGCCTTGGCACATGCAACATTTTGATGGCCAGGCATTTTAAGCCAGCCAAATCTGAGGTCACCATAAATATCAGCACTATTAACTCATATTATCATTGGCCTTTTGATGTGTCAGTTTGTTTAAAGCCCCAAGTAATCCTTTTACCCATGGCTGGGGATTTATGTATTTCAGGATATTGTCTCATCCACAGCCAGTTCAAACAAACCAAACATCTATTTTTGCCCCAAAACTTTAGTTCCACTTGTAAGCTACTTGTAAAATGTCAGCTCTTTGATTGACCTTCTGATGTACTAAGGAGTTGGCTTCTCAGCACTAAATATGTCTCTGCTTCTCTGCTCCACTTAATTTTCTAGTTTGGCTAGTGAACTGTAAAATAGCAGCAATTTTGTCTATTTCTTTAGCTTACAGTGACCTAGCCGTGCCCTTAAGCCTCCAGTAACTGCCCCACACACTGTGACCAAATGGATTTCAGTCAGGATAATGTAATCCCGGTACATTTCTCTTTCCCGAAAGTCCTGTCTTTCTTAACTGCCCTTGCATGAAAAAAGGGTTTACTGCCAATTCTTCCTTTTCAGAATTAACCAGAACACAAAACAGCTGATTCCCATGTCATTACAGGTTCATAACCTCTCCTGTCACATGTCTCTTTCAATTCCTTGCAGCTGTACGAGAACTTTGTGGAGGAGGTGGATGCTATAGACAATGGCATTTCACAGTATGACGGCGAGGCCCGCTACTCCATCTCCACCACGCTGAGTGCACGTGTCAGCCACCTGAACCCGTGCTGGAACAGCAAGAGTCAGGACACTGAGGTGAGTGGGTTGCATGAATGTGAAAATGCATACCCACACTTAGCTAAAGATTGGTCTCATGCAGCATGTTTATTATGCATCAGGTTGATGAGATTGAAATGTTAATATTTTAAACTAAAGGTGACAGATTGCTGCGGCTGCTTCAGGTGTAGTTGGTTTGATCTGCGGGACGTGCAGCACCTCTGTTGGTGTTTTTAGTGTAGTTTAGTGACTTGTTTAAACAGACTCCCTTTACTTGTGACTGTCATTTTTGGAGGAGGTTTGCGACTCACCAATAAAGGAAAAAGCACTCACAGAGATCTTTCAATTCAGTTTAACAAAAGTTAACAAATAATTTACAAAATAATTGTCCGTTGTTTACTTTCAACACACGTATCAAAAAATTACCTTAAATTAGTTTCCCACAACTTACTAAATGACTGATTGTTTTTGATGCATCGATATTTAATTATTATTAATATTTAGGGCTATTCCACAGTAGGGCTCTAGAATAACTACTACATAATTTAATATGATAATCATATAAATTGGGACACCTGTAGCGAAACAAAAATTCAAGATTAAGGTTAAGAATATTGTGACAAACACGACCAGTGCGATGCAGCGCAGTGAGCGCTTTTAGAGCTGTGCAGAAACAACAGAGGCCCAGGAATGGCTGTGGGTGTGGGGGTGTGTGTGTGTGAGACTTTCTCTCATTAGTGCAGTCGGGCAGTGCCTGCAGGGAAACAGCACCTGTTTACCTGGTTTCTTCAGACTCTCATGAGATATACTTTCAGCCTGCCTGTGCATGTATGTTGACAATGCCACCATTTTTTTTTTTTCTCCCATCATCGGGACCGGCTCAGTGGAGTAGCTGGCCTATTTGTTTTTTCACATTTCATTTCACGTGATTATAATTCTTGTCCTGGCCCTTTCCTCCAATTTAGTTAATTTTAATTTAAGGTACTTTATTGTGGGCGGTGGTGCGGTGGTTAGCACTGTTGCCTCACAGCAAGAAAGTCGTGGGTTCAAACCCCGGTTGCCCCGGCCTTTCTGTGTGGAGTTTGCATGTTCTCCCCGTGTCTGCGTGGGTTCTCTCCGGGTGCTCCGGCTTTCTCCCACTGTCCAAAAACATGCAGGCTAGGTTGATTGGTTACCCTAAATTTTCCTTAGGTGTGAGCGTGAGTGGTTGTTCGATGTCCCGATGGACCCAATCCCAGCTGACATCGGGGGCAGTCCATAGTCCACACATAGACGAACAACCACTCACGCTCACACCTAAGGACCCTGTACCGCGACCCTGTACGCAGGATAAGCGGTTGACGATGGATGGATGGTACTTTATTGTCCCATACATGTTGTGAAATTCATTCTCTGCATTTAACCCATCCCTCAAGGGAGCAGTGGGCAGCCACTGTGCAGTGCCTGGGGACCAACTCCAGATCTATGTCAGTGTCTGTTCAATGGAACTGACTGGAGAAACCTAACATGTTTTTCGTCTCCTCCATCCACAGCTGTTAAAATTCAGGGTCACTGCAGCCTCAATCAGGTGCATGCCGATCAGACTTCTGCCTGACAAACTGTGTGTGTCTGAGTGTGATAGCATGTTTGTGCATAAATTTATTTTCATATGTTTTTCATATTCTCATGCTCTATTGAGTTTCTGCTGACGGGATTATAAGAGAGAGGGGCCAGGCTTGGGTTTGTGCAGGACAAGACTGGAAGCTGATAAAGCAGGGCTGCAAGGGTTAGTACAGAGATTGTCGGACAAGACTATTTCACCCCCATTTTATCTGGCACAAAGTCTCACTTAATGTGTGAGCAGTTTTTTCATCAAAGTACACCTAAAGTCTAGTCATCAAAAAACTATATTTCTGCCTTCATAATATGATACAGTATTTCTTTCACAGTCTCACACTGTGTTTGACAGTAGCATGCATGTGTACTTGTGTTTTTACTAGGAGGGTTTCAGAAAGGCTATGAAGTTGGTTGGGGAAGAGTTCCTGGGCCGTCTGGAGTTCTACAAGTCGTCCTGGCTGCCGGCTCGTGCCGTGGTGGAGAAGGCTGTTATTGAGAGGCATCAGGTACAAGAATATCCAATCTAATATGTATAGTTTTTGGTAACATTTTTTTGTCCTTTTGTAAACATAGTAACTTGGCACTTTTTTACGATTGTTTGTTCATCGTTCATGTAATGTATAGAGTGTTCATATTACAGCCCGACCGATATGAGATTTTTAAGTCCGATACTGATTTCGATATTTGAGGATTTTAAAATCTGATAGCCGACATATCAGCCGATATTCTTTACCCACTTATTTTAAGAAACGCATAACATAAACAAAGATTATCCCTAACATTTGTTATGTTGAGTCCTCACCAAGATACCATGACATAATGCAGTTTAAAAAGAAACTTTTTTATTGTTAGAAATAGTACTTTGAACAAAAGTACAACTAAATATATTAAAGTTATGATAAATAAGAGTCAAATGTAAAATACTACAGAAAACAGTTTTAAAATATCTGATTTATTATAAATTATGTGATTATGTGATAAATTAGAGTGCTAATGAACATTAAATAGTGTATCTAATGTGGGGGCCAGCGAAACAGAAACTATAAAAAATATCAATATAGTACTACTACTAAAAATAATAATGATACCATATATCATCTTTCATGTCATTGCTTTCAAAATAATGATACGGCATTCCTACATAGGCAAATAATAATATATTTTGCCATGCAGTAGTTATTACCATACATATAATCTGTCACTATGACTACTTTCTACATCTAATTTATCACCTGCACTCTGTTAATTCTATTCAATCCTACAGAAACGATTTCCTGACACACTTCTGGCTCTATGATACAATGACGCAGAGGAAACCGAATGAATCTAATACTACATGACTGTCTACAAGGAGGATCTGCAACTGTGTGTTAGACACTTCTACAGCTCATGTCCCCTCTGATTTAATCATTTCTGACACGCAGCGTTATCTGCTGTTGGCGATATTAGAAAATATTTAGAAGTAATAAATTATAGAGAAATGAGAGGACCGGTCACTCGAACTGCCAAACTGTTTCAGGAATAAATCCACACTCACGTCTGTCAGCAGCGTAGCCTCTTCCGTAACATTAAACAGGCTGTGAGCCTGGAGAGGGCAGTGGAAAAAAAGAGGAAAAGTGATGAGGGTTATTTTTATTAATATTTAAGTCATGTAATTAACGTGACAAAAGACTAACTCACCAGGAACACCGAGTATGAGAGGTACCAGGAGTAGCTCCAGGAGAGCCGCATAAAGTTATAACTCTCACAGAATTATGACATCTTTTTTTTTTAAATTATATTATGAAATAATTTCAGGGGTAGCGTATTCTGATAGACTAATATCCCCTATCAAATAATGCTCCCACTACAGAATCATTTTATATTGCACCACTACTCACTCCATATATACTGTAAGGAGATGGCGAGCATGTTGAAATAGGCTACTATATTATGCAATCTTTATTTAAGATATCAGAGGTAGCGTATTTCTGACTAATATTCCTGACGATCAGCCATTGTCTTGACGGCATGCCCAACAGCAAGGTTTCACAGATTTATGGGCGTGGAAACAGACCACGTTAGTGGGTCATGCGCATGCGCAGAACCCATAGACTGTATATAAGAAATGGCGTCACCCGAGTTTGGCCGATACGGCACCGCCATGTCGTGTTTTTGCAACCAGGAAGTGCCCGGAAGTGACGTGGGGCGGTGGGGCTAACGGCCGTGTGCGGAGCTAGCTAGCTTGCTTAGCTAGATACAACTGTAACTCACGTTAACTGTCATTTTAACAGGGCTGATAACTTTCTCTTGCAAACAATAGTCTTAGAACTAAAATTTACTCACCAGAGCAAGTGAACAGCCGACTCCTAATAAGCTTTTTCAGTGGTGCTGGTTAAATTTACACAGTGCCGAGGGTACGAGTGGGCTCTAGCCTGATTGACAGGGCGCCATGGTAACGACTTGTCAATCATAGATAATCCCCGGTAGAATGCGGTCAGCTGATGTTTTGTTTCTTATTGTATAAATTGCGTATTGCGTACAGCATGAATGGATAGATAATACAGCAAATAATACCAAACCCACTAATTACCATTATCTACAAACCCTGACCTTGTGTCTCTTCAAGAATTGGGAGATAAACCAGTGTTTCCCATACGTTCATTTATTTGTGGAGGCCGGCTACAATATCAACGCTGACCACCACATATTGATTAAAAATTTTTTTTACTAGGCCTATTTAAAATCGTATGTGATTGCAGAGCGCCGTAGCACATTTGCACAGCACATCCTCTCGCTTGTCCTTCTCTCTCGCTCTCTTTCCCTCTCCCTCATGAACACAACGCTGTCATTGTCGGAGACACAGCTTTTAAAACGTTGTTAGTAAACATGTACGGAGCCTAACTAATCAGGAGAGCTAAGTTAATATTAGAATACAGCTGGGTTTTCGAGGCTTGCACGCTGTATATAGCTGGTAGTCAATGTCGTCTCTATTCATTTAACTTGCACTGTAAATTTCCGGCTAAACTGAGGCTTTTTTTTTACCTTTTTACCTCTCTCAATCTCTCTCTCTCGCCCTGCCGTTCACCGGTCTTGTGCATTCATTGCGTGCATTCCGTGCTGCCGACAACTACATGCACTTCGCAGTTCCTTGTGGGTCTGTTTCAAGTATCGGGCTATTTAAAAACGATAAAATATTCTTTGTGTGGTTCATCAACGGTGATAAATTATCTGAAAGTGATCAAACTGTGATCAGGGGTAAATTCATCGATCGATTGGTGGCTGCCAGTCGTTATGTGTGAACTACTCAATGAGTCAACAAAACGGGTCGCTGACGCATCGCTGACGCATCGCAGGTGCCAGCCAGATATCTAGCTCGCCAAATATCTGGAGGAGTCGGCGGACTCGACATCAACATCCAGCCAATGAGAGCAGGCAGCTACTTTTTCTCTGCAAAACACTTTTTACTCACCTCCAGCTCTCTCTGTAGCACAGAGGATCACTGCTACCTGTGTATGCTAATCTATTCTTTATAATTGCTAGCTTGATAATAAACAGCTCTTTCGTGTGTAGTGTCGCATCATTTCCTGTTTCTCTGTGTTTTCTTAACAAAACGTGGTTTGAAGGCCAGCATCAGGTGACCAAGCTGCTGTCAGCTTGTGTAGTGTGTGACCCCCTGTCACCGATCAGTCACGTAGTGTAAACAACTTTAAGACCCACGTCACAAGACGCCAAGTTGTATATTGTGAACTGCACAGTGATCTGCCGACGCTGAAAGTTGTATAGTGTGCACGAGCCTTTAGTGACAAACAGTTTTCTGGTTCCCTTTTTGTTTCCAGGTAGATCCCAGTGGGGAGGTGGTGTTGTTCTCCCAGGGTGGATGTCCCTGGAAGGAGCATCTGTTTGCCCTGGAGAAGGACCTCCATGTGGAGACGCCCATTAAGTTTGTCCTTTACCCAGACCAGAATGGACAGTGGAGGGTCCAGTGTGTCCCTGCTGGGCTCAACACCTTCCAGAACAGGTGTGTTCCTAGTTAAATTTTCTTAAAGGTTATTTAAATACCATTTCTGCTTCATGAGGTGCAGCTTGTGATCTCATGTGCAGAGGAAGAACCTTGAATGAGTTACCTTGGCAGAAATCAAACATGCAGAACTCGCAGGGATGTCGTGACACAAACTCACACACATGAAATTCTTCCAGACAGGATTTTTGTTAAAATGTTGGTGGAAAACACAGTGACAGGGACAGCTCCAGAGTCTCCCAGACGTGTTGAATTGAGTTGAGCTATGGTGACGGTGATGAACTATGATGTACGCTTTAACTTTCATGGTTATTGGACCATTTGACAACTACTCACGGAGGTTTGACATGTCATCCAGTGAGAGACTAACTCCTGCTTGGATAGAAATACTTTGAGGTGAGGATGATCCTTTAGTTAATGCAGAGGTTTTGTTCTGACATTGCTCTATTAAGGAGTTGAAATGTAAGATATGTAAATGCTTCCAACACTTGAGCCCTTTCTCCATGCCCATCCCTCTCACTCAGGTGTTTCTTTTTTGTTGTTCTTATCTTAATTATACCCTGTGCTCCAAATAAAGGAAGCTGGCAGTCATGCATGCTGGTTTGGAATTTGGCTTTTATTTGCAGCCATGTGTTTAAACATCCAGATTCATGCTTTATTGAACAACAGAGTATCTTTAATTGAAGACACACCATTGTCTTCTCATGACTGCCGTAATATGAAAATGGTTTTGGCCACTCAGAAGTTACATATCTGTATCATTGAGTGTTTACAGTCCCATTTATTCTCCAAATAAGAACAATGAACAAATCAGTGGTTTGATTTGCTTTTGTTAAACTGAAATAATGATTCTTTGTTCCCAAAGAAGGAAAGTCAAATATCAGTGTTCACCTTGAATTTTCTCTGACAACTTAAAATCAAATGTTGGTATAGTTATGGGGTCAGACCTAAATTTACTGAATGTAACAAGATAAAGAGTCTATAGACAGCTCACGGCTCTGTGAGGCTGCACAGCGATGCTTTGAGCTAAATGCTAACATCAGCATGCCAACATGCTCACAATGACAATGCTAACATGCTGTTGTTTAGCAGGTATAATGCTTACCATGTTCACCATCTTAGGTTAGTGTGTTTAAATGCTAACATTTGCTAATTAGCACAAAACACAACTGAGACTGATGGGAATGTCATTAGTTTTGCAGGCATTTGGTTGTAAACCAACATATCTGACAGATTAAATTTTCAAGTCAACTTCCTGAATGAGTTTTGCTTCGTCTCTTAAATGCTTTTAAATTAATGCTACAAACCTTAATTTTTGTCATTACTTTTGTAAACATTTTTAGGCTATTTATTTCTGAAACTGTACAACTGTTTTCTATTGTCTATTTCTCTTTATTTCATGATATGCAAATTTATTTTTTTATGGTCTTTTAAACGTTAGTATAATTTATCCCTTATGTACTGTAAATCACTTTGTGTGCACCATGCACGATTATACACGCGGTTGCTGTTGTGGAACGTTTCTGCATCTTTTACTAATAATGAGGTCCCTCAAACCCTGAAGCCTGGCACGTAGGCAAAATATGCCTCATCCATGCTCATTAAATGATATTAGTATGCTTGTCTTGTCACTCTGTACATAATGATAGTGATGACAAGACAAAGACCCTCTGTGTGAATTTGTCAGATGATTAACACCTCTCAAGTCTATGTTCGTTACCTCAGGAAGGGAATTGTTTACCTGAGGAGCCTCTCACGCTCTGACCTAATAACTTCATCAGCATCCCCACTGGAGACCTGTAATTGTTGTGTTGTTTGACTACTGCCCTGAATCCCAGCATGCAGCACATATGATCAATGTATGGCCAAGGAATCCTGCACCAGGCTCATCCTGGACCTTCTGTAGAGATACTAGCTGCTTGGTTGTGGTGTTTTGTTGTCAGTGCTTTACAGCATCGTGTTTAGCATATTTATAAACATCCAACTCATCATTCACTATATACTGACTGAAGCAGCCTCAGTTTACGTTTGTTACAGAGAGTCTCTCCAGCAGCCATGTTGCTTCCTTGTACTTTTTTCTGGCTTTATTTGGTTCTCGTGCTCCAAGGTTTGATGACTTCTACTGTTTGATAGTGATCCTTGCTTTTCAGAGTGGTAGTGGAATCCTCACCATGTGTACGTAATCACCAGTGACTAGGGTGGAAGAATATTACTAGTGATTAGTGCTCTTCAAAGCTGTAGAGATGAACAGTATTGTCTAGGGTTGGTTCTGATTGCTGGTTCCATTTTGGATCTGGTTTCCCAGTCTGAACAATACCTGTATTCGTTAAGCGGCGACTCTTAGCAAATCTCTTATCAAGCCTTTTTTCTCTCCTCACTATTTTTATGCAATGGCCAGAGTCATTATGTTTTCTGGTTGTCCTTCTTTCTGATATCTCTGAAGGCCTTGAGGGAATTTCTTTAAATTTGGCACAAACAAGCACTTGTACTCAAGGAACTGGTCAAAGGCCAGTGGGACCTCACAAAAAATATTTGTGGCCGTATCCTAATTGATTAACAGTTTACAATGAATTTGTGACACTTTTGACTTCTGACGTCCAGGTCACTGTGACATCAAATGACCTTTTGGCCATAATTAAGAATTGTGGCGTCATAATGTCCTGTCCTTTTTTTGGGTCACTATTCAACATAAATGAGGAACAGTAAGGGAGATTGTTGAGACCATATTTCACAGTTGGTTGGGGACTGAATAGGTAACACTTTTGACTCAAAGGTCACTGTGACCTTAAAATAGCACGACACAATGAGTAAATAACAACTAGCACAGTACTAGCTTCCTCCAACTCGTCTATTCTGCCTTTTGTTGTACATTTTGAGTGTCATCAGAATTACTTGTCTACAACTAATGTATAGCTGCCCTAGCTAATCGTTATCTTGTGAGTGACTGAGTTACAGCTCATAAAGAGGCTTGTCATCTAAAAGTGCCAGGAGAAAACAAAAGCACCACATTTTGTTTAGCTGTACTCTATAAGAATCCATCTTTACTTAGTAATCATGTGTACCTGTTTAACCCATATGTCTGTGATAATCCTTCATTAATCAGTTAATCAGTTCAACAATGCATATTCACTGGAATATTAAGTTAATGTAAAACTGTAGTGTTTGTAGTGTTATTTTAGCCTTTACTTACTTGCAAATATTGAAAGGTAAATCTGATATAAATCAGAATCAGAAATACTTTATTGATCCCTGAAGGGATACGAAATTATTCAGGTTTGATTAGTGGATTAAATTTTAATTCAATAAAATGCTATCAAACCCTATCCCTAGTGTTGCCTACACCAGAGTTTGCAACTTGTAGCTCTGTGAAAATGAATGCAGATAATACTTAATTGGAGAATGAGGAAGCAGCACTGACTCCACATTGTTCACTCACTCCACTTACATGATTATAAAATTATCTGCAAAATGTTTGTTTATAATATGTTCAGCAGTAGCTCAGGGTCAGTAAGTTATATAACAAATCATGAATTGGCCTTTTCACAAAATAAAATAAAATCTTCTGACATCATCACTCCTATTAGTTATTTCCCCTGGAGTGCAAATCATACAGCTTTCAATCACATTTTTTGAGCGGGAGTATTTATTGCCACTCTTATATCTGTTCATCACAACCCCTCATCTGGATTTCTCAGTTTTATCGAGCAATTTTCATTCATATTGAATGCAGATTCATCCCAAGGGAAAACTGAATAGAAAATGTAATTGTTTGTATAAAAGACAGCTTCTTTAACAAGTGTCAAAGAGAAGATGATTTTGTTCACAGCTGTGACATTTTCTGTATAATTTCCTCGCCTCCTCCGAAGGCATTTTCTGTTTGTTGAAATTGCCTGAGCAAACACATTCTACAATCCATTATGACATGTAAATGAATTAAGGCTTTTTTTAATCCTTGAAAATAAGCCTAACCCCTACCAAACAAATGCACTTGAAACTCTGACTTGTCACACTAACCTTTGACACATTACTGCTACTAATACTTTGTGACAAATACATAACATTTCCTGTGACTGCTATATTTTTGAGACCTAGCAGAAGTGGGAAATGTTGGGTTTTCCTCAGCAGAAATGAAACCGTGAAGCTGAGCTCAGTGAGATCATATCAAACAGTAATGCTGGATTCATTCGTGTATTGTTTCCTGTGAATCCCTTGTGCAAATGTAACTGTACACAGGAATGATGCCACCACACATAATGACAACTATTCCTACAACTATATAGAGTCAAATGCATTAAATGGCTATTGGCCATTCATTTGTAGTACCAAAAATGTTTTTTAATTTTATGAAAAATGTAAGCAATGCAACTCTAATATGGTCATTCTGGTTCTCCACACAGGATTTCTACTACTGCTTCGTCTGTCTGCTTTGTACATGTGGCAGCTATTGAATGTCTTTATGTCCTGGAAGACAAGTCAAGAGAGAAGGTGTCATATATTGTTCAAATTGTAAAGTCCTCTAAGATAAATTGGCATTTTTGGTCTATATAAATCAAATTGACTTTGCAATATACCCCAGATATACCTCATGCCAGCCTTGAGACCTTACTATCCCTGCAGATGGTCTCTAAGCTGCTCACCTGACTGCTATGTTCTTTAAATGTCTTGTTACCTCTGACAGCATTTGTCCCTTTGCTCTTATCTTGTGGTTGACATGTCTCATTATTGAAGACACACTAGGAGGGTGGAAAAGCTTTTTGATACAGCCCTGATCTGACCAGTGGCTGCTCTGCTTTCTATTTTCACCTCTTAACATGAGGTACGCTTGCTGGGCTCTCCCATTAGTGTTTAGTTTCTCTCTCTCTCTTATGTATAGTATTTCTGTCGCTGTCCTATAATCATCCTCTACCATTTCATCACCTTTTTTTCCAATCTGTCTCGGTCAATTCCCATTAATCCTATTTCAGACCCCTCATCCCCACCCTCTCTCCTATCTCGCTGCCTCACCTTTCACACCCTCCGCCCCTCCTTCGCCTCAACCCTCCACCACACTTTTTTCCACTCCGCTGCAGAATCTCATCAGGCAGCGCTTTCAACTAAAAAGACAGGCACCTGCTTGTGAGCACTTCAAAGATTTAATTTAATGCAAACATGGCAGTTGGTGTGAAGCAACATGAGAACAATGGCTTGTGAGGTGGATAAAGAAAAAAAAAACATAGTCCCAGATGGCTCTGTCTCTGGGTGGCCTGCTTCCTCCCAGTGGGCATGTGCCGACTCCGCAAAAGGGGTGGTGTTATCACCTGTGTCCCTGACACTGCACCTGGGGAGGGGGGGTCTATTTTTATCAGCATCACATTGCTAAGGAAATGTGAGCTGGGAGAAGGAAAGGGGGGAGTGGAAGCTGTCCTTTGTTGGAGATGCACTGTAAAGGATAATACTGTAGGTTGACAGCAATATGAGCTGAACCAGAACATATTACCGCTATTTCTGGAAAAGCACACTGGCTGCTGTCTCAGGTATTTGCCGTGTCTCTGTATTAGGGCTGCAACTAATGATTATTTGCATAGACAAGATTCTCTTTCTTTAATCGTTTGGCAAATAAAATGTCAGAAAATTGTTTGTTTTTTTTTTTTTAAATGCCTGACACCGTTTCTGAAAACCACAGGTTATAACTTCAACTGTCCAACAAACATTGACAAACATGAGTGAAGGAAAAGCAGCAAATATTCACAAATGAGAAGCTAGAGCTTGAGAATGTTTGAAAAATGATTAAAATGATTTGTCGACTATAAATAAAGTTGCTATGTCTCCTATTTCTGACTTGGAGAAGTTGGAAAATGAAAATTGCAGTGCGAAAGTGATTACATTAAAATAATTCCATGTGATATCCCATCCCGTCTTCTCCCATTAGAAGTTGATGTGCTAACTGTCAGCTTATTTTTAGACCGGTCATCTCTGACTCTGACTCTTGAGAGTCAGAGGTTCCTGGCCTATCATAGCAACAGTCATCCCCCTCCTATTCCTACCCTCATTACCAGCCCTGTTGACCTTTCTTCTCGAGCTTGTTTTCCAGTCATGCTGTGGAGCTATCGATTGGTTGATTCATTTAACAGGGATTAGGGTTTGCCATGCTTTCCTCCCCAGCTTGTCCTATGACAGTCTTTAATAGGAGAAGATCATGTATGCTTGAGATAATGACATGGAGAGCAGACTTGTACAAAAAGTACGAGTTTCACATGAACCATTTTGCATTATGGTTTTGCACTTGTGAAGCTTGTCACTCTCTCAATTTTAGAGGATGTAATGCATAATGGCATTAAATATTGAAAGGCAGAACATCAGGGAAATAAACCCTTCAATATCAAGAACAAAAGAAAACACTTTACTCATTTCAAACTGCAGGCGCGTTTGACAACCGTGTCACTTTATTTTTGACAAGTCAGACTGTACAACTCCATAATTCATCAAGCAGGCGACAGAGAGGAGCCTAAGTTTGGCATGATTTTTTTTGTCAAATCTGAAGCTTTTAGCCAGTTTTTAAGGCATTCAAAGTCTGTTTCAGACGTAGCAGTAGAAGGGTTAGAGGTGAGCAATGTTGTGATAAATCAGAATGATACATTGCTAAATATATCAGTACTTTGTGAAGGACTTCAGTCTGAGATAATGAAGATAATAACCCCATCAAGACAAGAACGACACGCATGCACACACTGAAGAGAACTGGTAATGTGTTTTAAATGATGTGCCAGGTTATAGACAGGTGTATACTGCTTGCAGTGGGTGGTAAATGAGCTGATCAACATTTTTATGAATTTTCAGCCTCTCTACATTACATCCAGCGACACTTTGTGGAGGTCAGCTCGTAAACCCTTGCTGAGCCAATCTTTTCCCCACTTTGTAAGATTGCCTGTTGAATCCATTGCCATCATGTAGCTTTCCAGCTACCTTTCCTATCTGTGCTTTTGCAAGTTACTTTTATGGAACTAAAACTGACTTTTATTGGTCTGTTTGCAGGGGCTGATTGAGGTGGTGCTATGTGTGAGTGTTACTGCAGTTTACCTTTGGACTCCTTACAGTCATGAAAGCTGGAAAGATTAGTAATTCAGGTCCTTTATGCAAAGCCTTGCTGAGATAAATTAAGTCATTACCATCAATGATTCATTAAAACGTGCATGCAAAATTAATTATTTTTTTAAACACATTAGTAGTGCTGCTAACTAACAATAATTTTGATCAGTAATTCATTTGCTTTTTATTTTCTCAATTAATTGATTAATACAGTGCCAGAATATAGTGCAAAATGCATATTGCAATTTCCTGAAGCCCAAGGTGGAACCCAAAGATATTCAGGTTATAGTTTTCACTTAAGACAAATAAAAGAAGCAAATCTTTACATTTGAGAAGCAACAACCAGCAAATATTTAGCATTTTTGCTTGAAAAGTGACTCAGGCGATTCATTTTGTGCCCACTGTCTTAATTGATGCAGCTTTATTTTCCTTTATTCTGTTGTCTTATTGCTATTCTGGTGACATTATTCATCCAGAGCTGGTTTTATAGATGCTGTTTTTCTGGTTGTGCAGACATGTGCAGCACAGTATGTTTTCCAAAAGGCAATATGTCAACAGGAAGTGAGCAGTTGACTACACAGCGTCCATCTGTAAGCTAACGTACCCTTCTGTCTTCCTGTCCCAGGCTGTCCCTGCTAGAAGAGTGGCGCGGCGTTCGTGATGAAGCTCTGTCGGAGCTCAGCGGGATTAAGGACTGTATCTTCGTCCACGCCGGAGGCTTTATTGGCGGGAACAAGAACCAGGAAGGAGTCCTGGAGATGGCCCGGAGGACGCTGCAAGCCGCCGCCCAGCCCCCTGCAAATGGAAGCAGCTGAATGGTCAGAGAGGACAGCCAACAGCACATTTTGTTCTCTGGGTCAGTCTTTAGAGCTGATGGCAAGGATTAAAATGTTAGTTTGCTAGCTTACAACTTGTTTTTCCTTGCCAGGTTTAATGTTTTGTTCTGCCGTGCTAGGATGAGGATGAAATAGACATGGCAGCCAAATAACCTTGGACCAGTTCCCTTAATACCTAGATTCCAACACAGGCTCACTGAATCGAAATGTTGGCTTATGTTGTTCTTCTCTCTGCCTGTTCTTATAAATGTAGGTCTGTCTTGTTCATTTGCAATAAAAGACTGTTTGGGATAGATTCTGTTTTTTTGTAAACATTTTGGTATTAGATTAAATTCAACAATAAAGCCATTGTTTTTCCAGTTCATATCAGGGGGGAACGATGCAGACGGTCTGACCGACCAACTCCAACATCTTCAAAGCCCCTGAATACCACGGTCTTACCTTTCTAGTGTCAATTTATATAGACACCTGGACAGTGGTTCATCCTTTGATATCCTGCATGCTGACATTAACCGTAGCACTACAAAGAGTTGCAGAAGCTACTTCCGCTGGCTCCAAGATCAAAGCATCATTAATGAGGCCTGATTAATTCTGAGAAATAAAATTTTCAAATGCCACAAAGAGGTGCTCCTTATGGCAGCCACTGTCGTGACAAGGTCACCAGCAGTGGGACGTGCCGCACAGTCAATTTCTTTGGAATGAAGTCGGGGGACTTTTCTCATTAATACTCCAGATCGTCCCTCTTAACTTTACCTGCTCTCTTATTGCATTTTCAGCTGCTCTTAACCTACACAACATATTGCTCTATAATTTCATTTCTGTGCATTTTATTTCTATCAGTGTCCGTGTCTTTGTGCAAATGCCACAACATGCAATGTTAATTACAATTGTTAATGTTGCTCTGCATCTTTTCTTTTTCCTCCTTTTTTCATTTGTTGTGTTCAGTGGTGCGTAGTGCACTGTTAATTCTTCAGTGACAAGACCCTTTTTATCGTCTTTCTTTGCCACTCATTTTCATTCTTTTTCTCTCTTAATTGAAACAGACACTTTTTAATGCTCTGAGTGGGCCCTGCCCAGAAAGACAAACATGTGATGCCTTTAAGTCAAAGAACAGATAACACTGTACAGGGTTGTATTAATAAAGCTCTTAGTGTATCATCTAATCTAAATTTAGTCTCAAGTTTCAACTGCTGCTTTATATTTTCCCTTTTAGCCAAGAGTACATCGGCTACTTTTAATAGCTTTGGAAAGGTGCTCTTCTTTTCCACACTAACATTATTTCACATGCTCAAACCCACAAACAATCACACACTCTTTTTAGTGTTATTACTGTGGAGGCTTTATTGTGCTGGACCAGAGCCAAGGTCTCAATCTAATCTATAAACATTTGTGACAGCCTTTTTTACAGTCACATGGTTCATATTGCAATCTCGGCCAACCAGTGCTGTGTTGTTTTGGGAGATTACTTCCTTTTTTTCCCCCAGCGTATACCTCAGTAAAAGAAGCAGGAGACAGCAAATCTCTATTCACCACAGCGGTGTAATTGCAGACACTTTGGGAGCAACATGAAAATGAAAGGACAGAAAAAAACTGACTTGCAGCCTAATATGTATTGATTTGAGTTTACAGCCACCACTTTACCCTTGCATGCACAATTTCAGGCTTGTTCACGATCAGGTGCACTTGTGTGATTGCTGTGCACAGGAAATCACAAGATGCTCTGCATTTTAAATTTCCAAGCGTCCTCAAAAGCCCGTTTCCTGCTTTTTTAGTTTTTTCATTTATTTTACCCTATGCTGTTTTCCCCCCTACAGAACCAGGTGAACTAAGGCCTTTCCTGTCACCCAAATTACCTACAAAGTAAAATTTTTTAATACTTTGTTTTGTCAGCAGGGATGATTTTCTGTCTGCGCTGTACTTTCTCACGACACAGCCAGCAGACCAAACCTTTGTGTTGGTCTTCGGTGGTAAGCATTTTTAGACGACTCCAGCTCTGGCAAGTCCCAGTTGGCCACACTGTGGAAAAATGGCTACTGAGAGCCTCAGCAGAACACCTGCCCTCGGCCTGACCTGTTGTTAGTGGATTCAATCCCAGGGGAATGACAGGCTAGTTACAAGGAGTGCTCCACTGCTTTTTTATCTCTCTCCCCCACTCTATCAGGCGTACTTGACATGCAGTCAAGACGTGTATTGTGTGTTATCTTTTCTTTTGATGACACAGATAATAGACAGTCATAACCATGCCTGCACTCTGTGTCTTGGAGGGGGAGATTTCTGCTACTGGCTGTCATATCTTTTCCTCTGCCTCTATCGGTTTACAAATTTATGTATGGTTCATTCAGTTTTCCCCTCGAAGGACTACGGCCAAACTGATGATGCCAAACTGCTTCACTTCACTGAAGGCAGGTTTTCCAGTAGAGTTCACATTGTCAACATTATCATCGACAAACTGCTTCTAGGCATGTACATCTTTTCGAACTCCTTCCTCTGAGAACATCTGAAGCAACTCTACCTAACCACCTCCCTCAACTCATTTTTGTCCCCATTGTTATTTATTTATTTTGCTGCAAATTGAAATTCTCTCTCATCTTAGTGCCATTCACTCGGCTCAGGGACCCGAAAAACAGACAATATGTGTGTTGTTTTTATTTGTGAAATTTTCTTCCTGCCATCATGTGCTTTCTCATTATGCACTCCTTTGTCCCTTGATTTATATCTGAAAAACCACAAAACTCAGCTTGCCCGCAGCTCTGTCTCTGGCAGCCACGGAGACAATCCCGTCAAAAATTCAGCTGTAAAGCAGGGGGAAAATGCATTATACTGGCAGCTTTGTGTATTATATTTGTCAGGAGTGGAAATGTTATAGTTTTTAGCAGGTTGATGGGAGCAGGACAGGCTGGGCTCCGAGGTGTCATCATGGCTGTCAGACAACCCCCCCCCCCAGAGGGCTTATGTAGATCGGCAGATATTCTTGCTGCTTATGGTCCATGAACCATGAATAAGTTTCCCACATATTGAAGGTGTCATTTGTGTCACTGTGTGGACATGCTCTTATTTATATGGAAATGTGTGACCCTGCTAAGTGTGTGAGTCTCAGAGTCGCCTTATGTCTAACCTCTCCTGTGTTTGTAAATGCAGGTGTTATCTACTACATGACTACATAGTTCAAATCCATCTTCATTTGCAATCTGTTACACAAGTTTATCAGTGCAGTCTCTAGCCTCTTTCTAATTGACCTCCAGTATTAAGCCTGTGGGGAAAAAGACATGTGATTGAAGGAGTGGCATCTTCTCTTTAATGTGGTTTTCTTTCAGCTCTGTCAGTCAGTAGTGGTGTCCACTATGATGGCTGTAAATGGAAAATAATATTTTTCTAAACATTCTGACACATATTGCAAGTCCATGACTTTTGCAAGTGACATTTCATATTGTATATAAAACTGGTTATATAATTTTTTTTTTTCTAAATGTCTCTTCACCTGTGTCCCTACCTGCCTTGGTTTCAATTACATTTTGCAGGAAGAGACTGATGCAATAATCGAATTATAACTATAGGTAATTAAGTTAATATCTCATGTGGCTGTAAACGACGTCTTCTCAGAAATCGAGACTAATGCCATAGTGTGGACAAGAAGGACGTGTGATGACCCACCTCCCATGTTTGTCTTTGTCTCTTACACATACAAACAGAGAGAGAGAGAGAGAGAGAGAGAGAGAGAAAGATTGCCCCACATCATTGTTGCTATAACTACCCTCTGGTACGGCAGTCGGTGATGAAGCCCTCTGCAGGCGACAGACCACGGATCCACTACTGATGCGCTTCGCGGTTTTTTTTTTCTCAAATAGATCTACACTGAAGAAGGAGATGAGGTCCAGTGCAAGAAAAACTGCAAACGGAGTCTAAAACTATCCTTATCTGCCGTCTAGATCTTAAACTTCACAAGAAAGCATTTTACAGGTAAATTGCTTTTATATCCCCGTAGAAAAGTATTATTATTATATTATTATTATTATTATGTAGCTGGAGGACTAATTCCTATCCATATTGTTGCTCTAGTCGGCTTTTGCCCGAGACTTTTTAAATTGCATCAACTTTTTAATAGTAGCCTTACGGACAAAGAGAGAACGCTTTGTTACACGAACTTCATTTTTATGATTCAGAAGTTGCAAAAACGATGCACAAAACAGCCATGTGTGTTTGCTTGCATGAAGCTAAAAAGCTGTTGTGGATGAACTGGACAACCCGAAGGCAGTGAGACGCCGACATTAATGTCATTTTTAGTCTAAATTAAATTGGACTTCAGTGCAGGTTAATTTGATGAAAAAACATGATACCGGAGATGAACTTAGAAAATATCACGGATACTCCCTGATTTTAATCGATGTTATTCAATTAAGAAACAGGGTGGAACATAAAAAATATATAACCTCATTCATCCGCTGTAACCACAATGCTGATTTGCTTCGGGAGTCTCTCTTCAGCCTTGTCTTTCAACCTTTCTCATTCACATTCCTACTTATGCAGTAGATGATTGTTTCTTAATTGGGGATTTGCATGCATCTGCATTCATCTTAATGACAGGACGGTTAATGAGTAGTGAAGTAAATCCTCACCTGTGCTCATAAAACACACTGGGCCCACTGGGACATATCAGGGCTGTCAGTCAGCCACCTTTAGGCATATCAACCAAATCTAGGCCACTGTTGGTCTGGAGGTTGAAGCATTTAGTGTATGCAATCTGTGCAGGGGAATAGATAGACAGTATAGTTTTGAGTCTATTAAGGACTGTGAGAAAGACTTTGAAGAGGATGGTCTTTTAATCTAGTTCAAGGAGAGTGTATTTTGATTTCTGTCTTGGAACAAGGACATCATTCTATACTTTGTCTGAAATTGTTCTAAAACACCTGATTGGATTGTCTGAACAAACTGAAACTGCCTCATTTACACAGCCACATACAGTAGATTATTTTAAAAAATCAGACAGGCGGGCAGATTAGGCTGAGTGTCTCAAAAATAGCTTAACACACTTAATGCATGTAATGTTTTCTCCGGTGGTTTGCAGTCTAGCCAGATTGCTTTTTTAAAAATGTTTGCCTCCTAGCTGCATGATTTGTGAGAAGATGCTAACACCCAGACTACTGCTGGGTTATTTTTGCCGGCTCTGTCACTTATTGACATTGTGGGACACATGCAGGCAGGATTGATGTTCTTGCCCTTAATAGTGTAGCAGGCAGTAGTTGAGCTATCGATCTGACCCCCTTTCTAACCTCCATCCCCACAATGCCCCCCCCCACACACACACAAACATTATGATTAAGGGTCCTTGGCATCATGGGAAAATAAATAGAGGGATAAATGTGATTGGCATCTATTGATGAGTGTAGCATTGTGCTTTTCTTCTGATCTTTAATTCGAGCCACACGATGGAATCGGCAGGGAATCGGTGGGGGGCTTTGGATGATCATCTGTAATGATTTATGAGTTGATTCAGGAGTTGTTTCAACTTTTATTACATCTCTTAAACTTTCATTATTGCTGTAAATAGCAAATGTTATGTTACACAAAAAGTGTTGTGCTCTTGCACTTTTGCATTACAGTGTCTCTTCATGCAGTTGTTATCAGATAAACCGGGTTAAGCTCATTTCATTGTCAATCTCTTTACCCAGTGACCTTTTTCTTGTCCTCCCCCTAAACTTATAATCTCCCCTGTCAGCCGTCCTTTTGATTGCATGTGTTTGACTGGTTTGTAAAGAGAGACAAACCGAGGGAGAGTAGTTTTTTTCCCAGACTGACCCTTTTTTCCCTCAATCCGTCAGATTCTCCCGGTGCGACCGTGTGTGTATCTGACTGGTGTGTCAGGAGGCTATGGTGAGGCGATGTGCACAGGCTGGTGTGAGGAGAGATGTACCAGCAGCAGTGGAGGAAGACAGGGAGGTAAAGGAGTGCATCTTCATTCATGGCTGCGCATCTCGCTCTTGTTCTCGGCCCTGTGGGGCCAAGCGTCCCCCCAGTGCCCGGACAGCTGCCACTGCGCCTGGGACACGGGCACGGTGCTGTGCTCAGATGCCGGGCTGCGGGAGATTCCAGAGGGGATCCCACCGGAAACTGTCTCCCTTCACCTGGAACGTAACTACATCCGCAACATCCCAGAGAGTGCCTTCAGCGACCTGGTCCACCTACGGGACCTGTACCTGTCCCACAACCGCATCGACTCGCTCGCCTCGGGGGCCCTGCGGCATCTGGGCCCCGAGCTGCGCCTGCTGGACCTCTCACACAACCAGCTGAGGCAGGCCAGCAGGGAGGAGTTTGGCTCCACTCGTGCCAAGACACGTCTCTACCACAACCCTTGGCACTGTGACTGTGCCCTTCAGGAGCTGATGGAGACCCTGAACCTGGAGCCTGAGACTGTGAATGGGATTGTTTGTGAGAGCTCTGTCCGGGGGGTGGGCGAGGGGAGCAGGTGGGAGGACCCGGGGGCGCAGGGCGAACACGCCGGTCAACCACTGGTCAAGCTGTTGGATTCTGGGGTGAATTTCTGCAGCCTGCAGAGGAAAACCACTGATGTAGCCATGCTGGTGACAATGTTCGTATGGTTCTTTATGGTCATTGTGTATGTAGTCTACTATGTGAGGCAGAATCAGGCCGAGGCCCGGAGGCATTTGGAGTACCTGAAGAGTTTGCCCAGCCCACGCAAGAACCCCACAGAGACAGACACTCTAAGCACTGGTTTCTGAACTCCTGCTCAGCTGTAATTGAAATAGAATAATAATCCAGTCCTATTTTTATGGAGAGCGCCTGATAAACCTCAAAATGCTGTGTGGAGTTATTGTAAGCCGCGTGTAGAAGATGCTGATACAGAGGAAATGAACCTTTTACAGCTGTGCTATGTGATTGCAACGTTTCTTTATATTTGTTACTGCTGAGCTCCCCATGTTTTTTCTTTATTTCTTTACCTATTGCATTTTCCTCAATTTAATGAATAACGAGAAGTGAGTATTTGTTTCCTCCTCCTACCATGTGCTGTGAAAGAAAATAGTGGAAATAGAACAAGAGAGTGCAGTGGAAGATGAAAGGATGAAATAAGAAAAGACAGAACGTTCTTTGAACTTTATAACCTTCTATTTCCCTCTGTAGTCTCTCTTCTTCTTCATTTTCCTTTCTTCTCCCACGATGCAGCACGCTGTGATCTTTCATTAAGCTCTAATTTGGACTCTTGGACCAACTGACCCTTTCTAAACACTTGAAAGGCACTAATCAGCAGGAGTGTTTATCAGGTCGCAAAGGAGAGTGTGCAAACTCAAATGACTGTCCTTATCTAATGGCTTTTTCTTCATTTGTGTGTGTATATGTGCACATGTGGTGTTTATGTGCATTGTTACTGCCATTTTTACTTTGATAACACTGATTTTGCATGGATGCTATCCAAGCCTTCCCCAATACACAGCCACAGCCACTTGACTAATACTAAGCCAGTTGTTTCGGTGCCAGTGGAGAACTGCTGATCTAAATTTACTCTCAGGAAGCCATTAGAGCTGGAGGTGAACTATTTCGTCTCCAAGCTGCAGCAATCAGCTCTGAAATATCTGGACAGCTTAGCGTACTGTCACTGATTGGTACAGAGAAATTTCAGCCAGATTTAGAAGCGGATCATTGTTAGATTAGTATAGCCATTTATCCTGAGAGTAGCTGTTAGTTTAGGTTTAATTAATCTCTTGAGTCCTGCTTTTCGGTCCTCTATGCACTGATTGCTATGTACACATCATATGGTCTCCCATTTTCCACATAGGCTGTGTCATAATTGATTTTTGTTCAAGCCACTGTAAAAATAAGCAAAACACTCTTATTCCACAAAATGGAATAATTTTCTCAGTTAGCACATTTAACGCTTGTAATGTTAAGATTAATGCCATTCATAACATGTATACTGTAGGTGCACTGAATATCTAGCTCTATGGAACAATTCTGATTGGATTAAGGGCCACATTTTTGAATTTTGCTTGAGTTCATTGAAATCATTATTCTCTAAGGGAAGGGTCTATCACGTGGTTTCAGTATTTGTCATTAGTCAATGTTACAAACAAGCAAACTGTAAAATGCCTCTCTCAAATTGATAGATGCAGCCATTGCTTTGTTGATCATTAGCCAATTAGGTTGGGAACAACTGCTTTAAGAGGATGTTTTTGAACATCTTAGCAGCATGGCTCTATGGCAATGTCAATCTGCAGTCTCACAGAGTGGCGAGCATGGCTGTAGAATTAGTCTTTTTCATGTGTCTTCAATCTGCGACCCTTTAAGTGTTGATCGATGTAATAAAACATTACTGTACCCCATTTTATCTAACAACTGGGCTCGGAAAGTGGTAAAATCTGAGGCAAAACTTAGAATAGGACAACTGTCTGTGTACTGTAACATGCTAAATGTGGTGTGTACTTTGTAATTTACAGAGAAAGACTGGTTGAAGTTTGTGTTGTTCAGGATGAAGACATACTGTGAACTACAACAAGAATTAGTTCAGCTTTGAGCAGAACGATGTTGATATTGTCATGATAACTGGTCCATGTAAAAACCTGCTCTTGGTTGTTAGACCAAAGGCTAAAACATTGGAATAAGAAGTTGAATATTTGTTCTGTGACTGTCAAAAGAAAACTGTCTGTGGATAAACTTGTGAAGAAGAGTTGTAACGTTACATCATTTTTCCATAATGTTACCCGTCTGTCACAAATCCTGCATCTAATGTGCCAGAGTTCAGTTTCCTGAATGCATCTCTCCCATTAATACAATCTTTAACCATGATTACCTCATTAAGGTACAACGATGCTGATAACCACAAACCCAAGAACCACGCATGCCCTCTTTGTGTAGTTTTTTTCTGTAGGTATTTTTTTTATTGGTGTTCTGTCCCAGTGATTTGTTTTCTCTCCTGTTTGTATGCTGATAATTATTCAAACAAGGATAAAGTCAAAGATTGGAAACCATTACATCAAATAATAATGATCTATCAAAAAGTGATTTTAGGAGAAACAAACAAACAAATATATAAAAAATAAAAGAAACATTGCTCTACTTTGTTCATAGAAATGCTTCTACCTTTTATTGCTACTTTAGGTTGAAAAAGGCAAAAAGATGAAGAGAACAGAAGAACAGGAAGACATTATCAATTCACAATGAGCTGATCATGGTTGGCAGCGTTTCCTATTTCTACTCTACCACCCATTAACACTAAAGGAAGTGATTGACAAACTATTTTACATATATATATATAAAAAAAAGTACATGATGTGACTTTTCGCCGCCTCCTCCTTCAACGTTTTCGTAGTTTTTTTCCACAAATCACCATCAACAAAATCAAAATTGCCTCACATTTATCCATCTCTCCACTGCCTTTTCTTGAAATCTCCCCCTGGAAATATATTTGGACATCACCACAAAGACACAGTGGAAGCAGGGCACAGTGAAATGTTTAGATGTGACTCTTTAAAAAAAAAAAAGGAATTTCCTTGGGGAAGAGTCAAAACCAATGCCCCATATATTTCAACATGGGGGAGAACAAAACAGGATATAAATAAAAAGCAACTTCAGCCTGTTACTTGATTTTGTCTTTTATTTCCAATTTACATTAATTAAACCGTAACAAAAACAAGTCATGATCATAATAATATAATAATGCTATTATTAATAATAATAATAATATTATTAATAATAACAATATACACAACCTCGCACAATGGGCCCTCTGCGCTGGTTGTAGAACTGGAGCAACAAAGTCAGGCACACCCTGAATCTCTTCAACTGTGTGTTTGTGTGAGTGTGTATGCAGAGGCAGAGGACCCGCCCTGTGTGAGGAGACTTAGGGGAGGAAGTAGAGAGGAATGGGGGTCAAACGTCGCAGCGGGTGGGGGTGTGTTGGGGGACCGACTGACTGGGCTTTCACGACCAAGATTCTCAAACATATTGGTCATAGAGTCTCCTATAATTGCAGGGCCTTGGTTTGATTTTTGTTAAGTTTTTTTTTTAGTGTGAGGTAGCTTTAAAATATAAAAAGAAAACTAAATTCAGTATTAATTCCAAACTGGACATGACGTGATTGTTAAAAAAAAAGCCTAACGGGCACGTTTGTTAACACATAGGGGTTGAAGCAGGAGGGTAGGGCGAGGCAGGGACATTTATCACCCTTAAATCCAAAATCCCAGGGTGAAATGCTCTCTGAGAAACTGTGTGTGTGTGTGTGTGTGTGTGTGTGTGTGTCTATATAGACACACACACACACACACACACACACACACACATATATACAAGTCACTACATATGAGTATCTGGTTGTTAAAAAATACAGACCGTTTTACAACAATAGCACCATTGACTTTTATTATAATACACAGTAACTTTTTGATACACACTGGTGGTAGAAATAGGGACACCTGCACTTTCTATGTATCTAGTTTTGGTTTCAAAGAGATATGTATGCTTTAGTGGGTATGGCACAGGAGTAATGGTGGTGATTAGAAAATAGGAGGAAGTAGAGAGGAGGTTGGTGGATAAGGTATTTTTTTATTTATTTTATTTTTTTTTAAATATGTGTAAGTGGGCTTTTTATTACTTAGCAACAAAGTCAGTCCTACCACACCTGGGACCCAAACCTAAACAATAAATAAATAACACCAACACATCCAACACATTTTCTCTCTAGTTCCCTGGTATGTTCCCGTACTCTCCTCATACTTCCTCCGTCTTCTTTATGTTGTTGCTGTTCAACCAGGATGAAGTGGGGGCTTTTGGGGGATGCTGGGTGTCCGGGGGGGGGGGGGGGGGGGTTGACTGGAGGCAATGCTGGATGAATCACAGATGACAGTTGCTTGTGCCATTCAGTGCAGATATCCTACAGAGTTCGACTTGGAAAAAGCACTTTTTACTTAGAAAAAAAGTCCCATTTAAAAAAAGTGTCTTGATTTTTCTTTTTCACTCTTTCTCTCCTCCTTTATCTGAAGTGTACTCTTTCATTTTCTTTTTTTCTCCAAATTTCCACTTCTTTTTTCTCTTCTTTTTCGATCCCTCTGTCTTTACAAGAAGCAGACTGCCCCAACTTCAACTCCGAACTCCTGGTCTGCTCCACCAATATCCATGGGGGCAATGTCCACGATGGGCAGACGAGAGGTCTTCTGTGATCTGTATTCGATCACTGTCTTGCCCCACTGTCCCGTGTGTTTCTGTGCAGAGGCAAAAACACAACGGCTGTTAAATGACCTATAACTTTCTCCAAAATTGCACTGAGCTAAGTGAACAACAGAGAGTAACAGAGACAGTTAACGTCTGTCATAAAGAGAAAGTGAATCGTGTACCAATTTTTACATCCTTTAGAGTGTCATTATATTATGTCCTGATGTGCACCTGATTCAGTACATGCATACTGTACACACATGTTGAATCTATCCAGTCTTACCGTGCAGCCGTCCTCCATCACACTGTAAGTGAAGCGGCTGTTGCCCTCGGCTCTAATCTCCACATCATTGGAGCCCTGCAGCAGCACGGCCTTCTTTAGGTTGGCCATTGAGGCGTCCATGTAGGCCACACTGTTCTTACAGTGGTAGGTGAGGTTTTGAGAAGCCTCGGTAGACAGCAGCCTCAGGAAAGTCATCTGAATGGCAGCAGTGTTGGGTGCAAGGGTGTCATCACCATAGCTGAACTGCATGGAGCCGCAGGTAAAGAAGAAGACGTGAGAAGGGTCTGGTTAATATCTCTGTTATTATGGCTGTTGTTGTTTTTTTTTTTGAAAATTACCACATTTTCTAAAAAAAGTGAATATGGTTTTGTTCTGATAGCATACAAATGAGAAATTCCAGGGGGTCGGGATTAGCAGCGTGCTGCCTGCTGCTGTATCTTTTTCCAAACTACCACTAAAAGTTGTCAAAATTTTCAAATCATACACATAGGGGCTTCCAAAGAAATAGGTTTTTGCTACTTTTCATTCAGATTTCATGTTTTTGCACGTCCAAAATGTGTTGCGTTTCCTGTTGTAAGAAAACACTGAAATCAGCAGTTTATTGTGGCTAAGGTCCTTTTGCAATGAGGACACTATTAATCTTGCTTCTGGTAATACAAAGTATTAATGAAATGTAAATGAAAGAGTAACTTAACACAAGGCTGAAAAGCAGTGTTCCTGGATGCAAAATTCAAGTCTGTTTCAACTCTGACCCCAACCAACATCACTGATGGCTGTGTTTCACAGTTTCCTAATAATCAAAATCCAGAGCCTATTCCAACAAACATTGGGTGAGAGGCTAATAATAAAAATTTATGTCAGTACATTACCTGATTTGTCAGCAGAGGAAGGGTATGTTTCAGCTCAACTGATTGCACAGAAACATGAAAAAAAAACATGGTGCTACTTACGTGGAATCCTCCATTCATTGTCTCTCCGAACCAGATATGTTTGCGTTCCTTGCTCTTGCTGGACCACCAGTTCTTGCGAGGGATGGTGGAAGGTTTGGGGAGGACGCAGGACTCTCCTGTCTCCATGTTGCAGAAGACCTTGATTGCATCGACGGTGCAGCCCTGATTAGGATCAATCCAGTACTCTCCTGCAAGGGAAAAAAACAAACACATCAGCTTCAGGGGTGAGCCTCTTTTTATATTATACCCCCTCTTTCAGTGCATAAAAAGTAATCCTTGAACATGTATTGTTTAATGTTATGGGATATTGTGTAATTCTAATCGCTCAAAAACAGATTCTGAATCAGCCACATCCAAACACTCCTAGACTACACAAACTATATTTAACCTAAATCTTGACTTCACCAAACTTGAGCTGCCAACATGCCTCTCACCCCAATTTCACCAATTCATTTCGGTGTCACTCACCGCTCTTCCAGTCAGGATGGCACAGCTTCAGGTCTCTGCAGGTGCGAGCTGGGTTCTTCCTGGATCCCTCGGGGCTGCGGATGTTCTCAATCTGGTTGTTGAGAGATTTGAGCGTTGCGTCGACCTCAGCATCATGCTGACGGAGGTTTCCGGAAGCCTGGTCAGCTCTCATGTACCTGAGAGGATCGGGGGACTTTTCAATCGTACCCAGACCAGCGAAGGCGGACATGTCAATGCCAGGGCCAGGGGGACCAGGAGGACCGGGGGGTCCAGGGTTTCCGGGGGGACCCTGAGAGGAAAAGAAGAATGATGGAAGGGTTATATTTGGCACTACATGACATTTAGACATTTTCCCCCTTTAACTCAAGCAAAACTGTGCCTGCTACCCCTACTAATTCTAGTTTAATATCCAGCCTTATAATACTACATTTTGGACTTTGGACTTCTCCATAATGTTCTACCAATTGTATCTTTATGAGAAATGTTCAAGACCTTTCTCAATTTATTTTTAATTGCGGATATGATTGAAATAGATGTATTTAGCACTTGCACAGAATATACAGCACATTTGTTATTCAAACAGAGAAGGAAAGGAAAGACATATTGGCAGGTCACGTCACATGGGATGTATATGAGCCGGGTGATACCACTGCGTTCCTTCCTACCCAGCACCAGAATGACTTATACCAGATAGTCTTGATCTGAATTTTTCTTGCTATTTCAAGGACTCTGGATCTTTTAGAATTCTGTTTCGAATTTCTGAATACATAATTGGTCACGTGCATTTAACATTCAGTGCACAACATAGGGTTGTAACTAACTGTTAGGCTAAAATGACCTTTTTCGTGTGTTTTCAGAGGAAGATCAACGTTAACAGGCAGAGAGAGTTGTCGTGGATACTCACAGAGGGGCCGGTCTCTCCACTGCGACCACGAGGTCCGGGGGGTCCAATGGGTCCTGGCAGACCATTTCCACCATCCTTTCCAGCAGGGCCAACAGGTCCAGGTGGTCCCTATAAACACAGATGGAGGAAGCACTCTTGATGTTAAGCACCACATTCTTTAATACAACAAAGTATGTTGGTAGCATGAGTACTCACTCTTTGTCCAGAAGGTCCAGCAGGTCCAGTAGCACCCTGGTCTCCAGCTTGACCCTAAGCAGATAATGATTACAGGGTTTCTGCAAGGCTCACCAAGTTGAATTTAATACCCATTTAATACCAAGTACAAGAAATTCATTTGACAGTGTAAAACAAAGGTCTGGACGTACACAGATTTATATTCAGTCAGGATGCTTACCGGAGGTCCAGGCAGACCCTGCAGACCAGTGAAGCCTCTGTGTCCCTTCTGTCCTCTCTCACCGGACTCTCCAGCCTCACCCTTGTCACCGCGGGGTCCTTGAGGTCCCTGATACACAAGTGGACAACAACCTTATTAGGAAAATCTACAGGAATTTCAACAATATTTTTTTCAACAATTGTTTTTCTGTCACATTAGAAGACCATAAATAACTCAAACTCAAACTTAATCTCAAAAAAAAAGCACGCAGGTGTGTGTGTCAGTGTTTAGAAAGATCCGTACAGGCATTCCTCTGGCTCCAGCAGGTCCTGGAGGTCCAGCAGGTCCCTGTGCACCCTATGAAAGAAAACAAAAGGACGTGGTGATGTTACAGTAGAAACACAAATTACTGGTGCACTGCTTTGAAAAGACAGATCCATCCACTATCATATTATCTGTTAATATTGATGTGCGTAAAAATGAATTATAAATGTTTGTGGGTTGTTACCCTGACTTCCTTCTTTAAATTGGCTGTTACTGCCTTGGCTGAGGGGCCAAAATATTGTGTGTATATATTGTATCTAAGTAGTTTTCAAGAGCATGTACTATATTCAAACTGTGCCATCATCTACCTCTTAAACTTAATCAATCCTACTGTAACTTAAGAACAGAGTGTGACTTTCTAAAAGAATGCTGTTGGTAACCCTTAAGGTCAATTAAAACACTTGAGACATCCTCCTCTGTACTTGTGTGCAATCACACCATATGCTAATTTCCAGCAGCTAGCAGAAAAATCAACCTTTTTTAAATTATGCCTGCTCTTTATTTACCAGTGAGAGACAAACTTCACTCCTAGAAACATCCTGAGACAACATTACCGTTTTTCAAGACACTTTCACTTGTGTTGGAGTTACTACTCACAGACTCTCCTCGGTCTCCCTGTTTGCCAGTGGGGCCAACGGGGCC